GGAGTTCCTGGAGCTTGCCCGCTCGTCAAAAGTATATTTTCTACCCATTATGTATCTACCGGTGCCTTCAAATGAGCCGGTATTTACTCATAGAGATAGGTTAGAGCGATAGATTAGGGTTTTTCACTGGATGGGACCGAGGCTTTTAATAGTCATATCATGTGGAAAACGGTGGACTTTTCACTTTCTTGATGGATGCAGACCATAAGGTCACAAAGGAACCGCGATAAAGCCGCGAATGGCATGACGTAAATCCCAATAAATCGTCGGCAGGTAAAAGACGCCTTACTTATCTCACCGTGGAACTTTAATCCTTGGATACACTATGCTGGTGCGTTTTAATGGTGGCTGACTGGAATCACGTCCTGGCCGCATCAGGTAGCACCCAGCGCACGAAAGGTTGGCATTCTGCTTTTCATGCTTGGCACCAGGTAAACCCCTTGGTCGCCTCTCAGGGGATTTATCCGGGCGTGGGGAACAATCGAGTTGTTGTTTCGCCTGAATCTCGCTTGTGACAGATTCACATGCCCTGTCACATTTAAGAGGCATGAGTGTGGTATTTCCGCAAGTTGGACAACATCTTGGCATTTTTTCATTTATTTATTAATGATGAAGTGTGATCCCCATTATTTAGTTTAGGTCTTAGGTATACATTTTTGGCGTTTTCGGATGATTAGTCTCAGTCGGAGGGCTGAAACTTGCCGTAGCACCTGGTCGCAACTTTATTTCTAAAGAACTGTGGGGCGCAGCACCCTTTGATATTGGCTAGCTGGAAGAAAACTCTCTCGGATTCCTAAACGCTTAGTCCCATACATGTGAACGTCATATCATTGTCATCCACTCATTGATCTGCTTCTAATGATAGTACTTGGTGCAGTACTTATAAGTACCAACTAATACTTGATCTTAATATCTCAAAAACGGCAAGATCGATTCCAAAATCCCAAGGTTATGCTACGGAGAATGTCGCTAGTGCTACGGATTTGCAAGCGGAAGTAAAAAAATTTGGTGCGTTTTCATGATATTCGAGCCAAAAGTTGACGCCATAGAGGTCCATTATAATGGTTTGCTTGCACCTCCAAGAAATAGATGGCAGACCTGTCTCACGCACACGAAAAAGGGGCAGCATGAAGAGAGCTCCACCTTCCTCGACCCTTATTGGCCGGTTTTCCAGAATTTCTTTAACCTAAGGGGACGTACCCCGGAGAAAGGTTCAGAGGCCTTCCTCCACACCCTTCCCTCTTAAAAAAAAAAAGGGAAGGCCACGTAGTTATGAGATATGGACCGATTTGCGCGGATGTCTTACAACTCTTACATATGTAAGATAACCGCAGAAGATTATTTATTTATTATGTCCTTTTTCGGGAAGTTATGCCTTTTCGGCTTCATGGTAGACACAATGGCAAATCTTGACAGTGCTTATACGAGGGGCACATCGGAAGTTCTAGCCAAATGCGTTAAATATCCCTTGATCCTAATAAAATATGTTGGTATATTGCTTTTCTGGGATCCAATAAGATTCAGTGATTTTTTGGAAATTGTTTGCCAACATGGCGAGGGGTAGCGTAAGTCCAAAAGAGGTCACCCCCCATGACATATGACTTGGACCAAGAGAGATCTGCGAGTGCTGATTTGGAATGGTTCTGATGGTGTGGTCTTGCCACCACCACACACATTTTGAAACTCCTTTATTAAATTTCTGCAGTATTTTTGCAGGATATTTACTCAAAGCACTTTTGGCACTCAGGGGATGGGGTACCCAACAGGAAAAAAATTTTTGCCCCCTAAAATTTTCTAATGAATTTTCTTTTATGCCACTCCAGTCACAAGGGCCTCCTCTGTGACAGTATGCCATATTTCGGTTTACTTCAATCATTAGAAGGGGCTAGACCGCCTAGTTATAATTTCATCGCTGCAAGACACTGTCAAGCAGTTAGGCTCCTTTGAAACCATGGCAAATCAGCACCTGCTGATTTCCCTTGACCAGAGTGGATGACCTGCGGGGAAGGGGGGGGGGGACCCTTATTGGCCTTATGCTACGAACATTTTGTTTTTGTCACAACATTTTGGTATAGAAAACCCAAAAATGTCAATAGGATAAGGAGACACATAATGCCATTTAGCATGAGATTTTGTAGTGCCTCTCTTACGTTCTGTTGCCTTTCTCGAAGAAATTTCGATAATCAGTTCCAAACCTTGACTCCAACTTAGATGTCAGGACGACAGAACCCAAAACAGACCCAAATGACATCCGACTGAGTCGAAGTACAAGGAGTAGACTGATACAGGTCGTCAGAATGACACAATTAATGTCTCAGTTTTTCAGGCCTAAATTTATTGACGCACACGCTGGGGGACATGAAATAGAATTTTACCCCCTAGTGACAGTTGTAGAAAACGATATAATTGTCTCTCTGACCCCATATCATTTTCCCTACATAATTCCTTGTTCCAATCCACCTTGATTCTGAGTCCATTTGCCTGAAAGGGAAAACCTCCCTAACGGATGTGATGAGCAGAGGGTGAGCATTCCCCCTCAAGGAATTCATGTCTAGACAGGGTAGGAAAGGATGGAGAAACACGAAGAAACCAGACCCAGACCATGTTTTCTTCACCACCACTCAAGCTCTAGTTCTGGTGTAAATAATAATTATATCTATGGCGTTTTCAATATTCGATCGTAAAAACCGATTATCCTGGAACGTGTATCTGGCGTTCGACATTCGAATAGCCCGATAAATTTACGCTGTTTATGCTACTGCGTGTGTATCGCTGCAAAAGAGACGGCCTGCACTGCTTCTTTCAGCCGGCTATTCTATGCGGTCTTAGCCGGGCTCTCTCCACCTGGCGTAGGTGATCAGTCGCTGTGGCGATGGCTTTTACTGTGATTGTGAACGGTGAAGTTGAAGATTACAATCCCCATGTCCCAATCCCCGATTCAATCTTCATTGCACTTAAAGTTTCATTAAAGCTTTATCCATTTCGGACGTAAATCGTTTTCAGGTTCCATTTCCAAATACAGTGTGGCAAAAAATTGTTCACATTGCGTTAACATTTTCATTACTTATTAAGATAGGAAATTAAATTACATGCCATATTCTGAGTTTGTCTATACTTGTTCAAACTGCTCATCATTTGGATAACCTGTAATGTGCAGCAGTGTTTTCAATATTATTGTCGTGTCTCGTGTGTTAGGCCTCAGGCTGAAATGTTCTGCAGTTACAGAGCTCAATCAATGATGGGTGGATTTGTGAACGCATTTTCTTTAAGGAAACCCCATTTAAAAAAACTAGCAGCCCAATAGATATTCCTGGCTTATCAAACTTAACACTTTGCGTACCGCTCATGGAGATATGCGTTTTTGAGTCATTTCGGGAGTCCTTTTGCATAGCCTATGATCGAAAAAGCCATAGCCTTTTAGGCATCGAGCTTTAGGCTAATGCAACTGAGGCTTAGGTCAGAGCGGCGGATCGATGGAATAAAATGTCCGATACGCAATGTGTTGATAGCGCTATTCTTAACCGTTGGGTTTAATGTGGGTGTTTTATCTGGAAAAATACAGCAGGTGTAAATCGTTCAGAAATTTATTTAAATGCATTCATCTGTTACCGTGAAGAGTGAATTTTTGACGATGGTTTCCTGATAAGATACCCATATTAAATTCAACGATTAAGAATATCGTTCATAAGATGGAGGAGAAAGCGTTATGAGCATGAGAGGGGATATCTCGTGGTCAGCAGGTTCTCCTGATTTTAGACTGCTATATTTTGTTATGGGGTTTTCTTAAAGAAAAGATGTTCTCCACAAATTCACACATAATTGATAGACTGAAGTTCTGCGGTTACAGCGCTCAGTCACATAACACACGAGACACTGGACAATGCTATTGAAACACTGTTGTATATTGCAAGCAGATTATGCAAAGGAATGATGAACAATTTGAACCCATTTCTCAACATTAGAAAACCTTAAGTTCGTCTACTAGATGACATGTAATTTAATTTTCTACGTTCTCAACTTATGAAAATGCTAATAAAATGTGAAACACTATGTTACCACCCTGTATATTCTTTATCAGTTCTAAAAGCAATGCACGCTTTATTACAAGATCGCAGACCTAGTATATCAAATCGGTCGATTATCCTAATCGAAATTCGGTGGTATTTTACGAATTCTCACGAATCCAGAATGATGATTTTCTCCTAGAATATCTTGTGTATGCACGGCACACCTTGAAGCTCTCCCTCTTTAAAAGCAGTGAATCCGCCCAGAACGAAGTATTTGACAGTATTTCCTGTCAACTTTCATTGTGGACCCACATTACAGTGTATATAGGAGTTCGAACGCCATTTTGCTGTGGTGCATGTGAAGTTGAGCATGGGAAACATTCGAAGTTCCGTTGCCAAATTTTAATATGAGATACAGAATCACATTGATTCCAAGCCGATTAAGAAGTTCAAGTGGATTTCATGAGGATTTATATATAGAGAACGATGGCTTCTGCTGCCCGCTCAGATGCAACAGCATCTACAAGAGGCTTCATGGACTTAGACCAACTTTACAAGGGGAATCCGGGTTACGGTGTCGATTTGGCAAAATTACCTTCGCCGAAAAATGAGGATCACCAGTCTGATTACCCGTTACAAGAGGTCGTGCAGCTCCTCATTAAGAAAATCGACGACATAATCGAAGAAATCGAAAGACAATCATTTGAACGAGTTACTTCCTTTGTGATCGGTAAAACACATATTCCTGCAAAGAAGAAAAACAGGCTGATGAAGACGTTTGACGCAAATAACAAAAATACGTGGAAAACGAGTGGGATTAGCAACAGATGGAGGGGCGAATATAAAGATAAAAAATACCATGGATTAGTTGTTATTGCAGCAGTTACTCGAAAGATGTTGCCTTCTACTATTGCCAAGTGGTTAAATCACGAGCAACTATCTCTCACTTTGGAAGTCCAACTTCTCCACCATTATCTTTGGGTAAAAAACGACATGAGAGTGAAAAATGTTAGTTTCCTGCCCGGCAAAGCGACGAAAGAACGTCACTCTGGCTATGCAGTCTATTTTGCATACAAGTTGGGAGAAGTGGAAGACGATGAAGAAAACGATGAGAAAGAAGGAGAGGAATGTACGAAAGAGGTGAAACCAAGGGAAAACGAAGGAGGGAAAGCCAAAGCAGACAAACTGGAATGGGACTCTGACTGCCTACGTGCAGAATACGACGGTGGGGAAGAAGAAAATCGCAGAACAGGTTGGCCATTTTGTTTCTGGGGCTGAGGGAAAATTCTCCCTTAAAACTTTGATATTATTGAAATCATGGGAGCCTCATCTGTTATATGGAAGTAATATATACCCAATTTCTCAATATTTCCGGCTATCTTCGCCGAGAATGTTGGTTCTTGATAACATACTGATTAAGATCGGGCCATCTTGATAACCATTGGAACTTCATTCAAATGGAAAAATATATAGTCAATGAATTCAAGTGAGAATTAGGCTGATCTGTAATTGGGCTGGCATTCTAGTTCACCATTCGAAACGAAGGGAATTTCGCAAGTAAATAGCAATAATCTGTGCTGCTTATTCATTAGAACAAGTGCATGTCGATCATCTGCCTAAGAGAGAACCAAAAAGTATTAAGTCCTTGGGCAGCCCTTTGAAGGGAGTGATTAAACTGCTCCTTTTGAGATGTTTCATTTTCCTGTGATTAACCGAATGTGTGTGACTCGAAACTGCAGCAGTATAGGTAAACCCAGAATTGAACTCGTGCGAGCAATACCGTGAATGCATTTCCCATTTCCCAAGAACAAAGTAGGCTGCAATGGAGTCTCAATAATGAGCAAGATGAACATGATCTTTCAGAAAAGTGGGTCGCGTCACATAGCCAGCGTCCGGAGACTGTCTCTGCTAACGTGGGAGGAAAAGGTACATCAAGTCCTCTATCTTTGAAAGGATGCCTGAAGCATGTCGATCCGTCAAACATTCCAACTGAAGGCACTTGGACCGAAGAGAGGCCGTCCCAAAACTATTCGTCCAATCTACTCAACGGCAAAGATGAAATACCTAGAAACTACTTCGATTCGCATCGGCCGAAGAAAGTTCATTTCGGTAAGGCTGGTACCGACACAGATGAGGAACCTCAGGCGTTTCGAACGAGAGCCATCAATCTCCTGGCGGTAATTGAGTCAGAAGAAAAAGATGAAGGAAAAGAAGATGATGAAAATGAAGAAGAAATTAATTCGGAAATAGTTGCGTTACCGGAAGGAGAACATTATACCATATCCCGGAGACGGAATTCCGGGAAAAAGTCTTTTCTATTTGTGGAATTAACGAATTCTGTTTTCCGAGCTCTTGAAGATTTTCGAAGCAGAAGTAGGCAGAATGAGGAGATTAAGATCCACTTTTCCGGTGACGAAGGGAGAATACTGATTCCGGGTGTGAACGGGAACCTTCAGAGTTGGAAATTCAGCTTTGGCTACATTTCCGGGACCGACAGCCCTGAAGTGAACTCTTTTGGTTCCGCATCGAGGAGTTTGGAGACCCTAAGTCCGATTACGATCTTGCTCAAAGAAGATGGCTATAAGGCTACGAGGCTTAAAATTGCTGAGGCCAAGGAAGAGAGCAATAACAGAACAAAAGTGATACGCTCCTCAGACCTGTACATTTTGCAAAAAGTGGAGAAACCGGCAACTCCCTTACTTGCTCCTGCGTCGTCAAAGAGTCCCTCACAACTCCCGTCGAATAAGCTATGCATTTTCGGTTTTCGCCGCCAGGCACCTACATCGACCTTGCAGACAATCGGCTCGGCTGCCTTGAACGATGCCTCGGTCTCCTCGTTAGACCTCAGCAGAATTCCTGAGGACCCTTTCCGAGCGAAAGTTCAAGAGGAAGGGAGGGCGTCCCAAAACTGCTCGTCCAATAAGCGTCACCGAGAAAATGAAATACCTGAAAGCGACATCCATCTACATCGGCCGAAGAAAGCTCATCTCTCTAAGGCTGGTACCGACTCAGATGAGGAACCTCAGGCGTTTCGAACCGGAATGAGAGCCATCAATCTCCCGGTAGAGATAATCTCTGTTGCGTCACTCTCTTCGCTGCAACTACAACCACCCTCGGTTATCTCTTCTGACGGTGTGACTCTTAGCTCAAGGAAAGAAAGTCGGATGGGGACTAACGGGAAATATAATAAGAATGAAGGAGGAGAAAATCTGATGGAGTCTGAAGAGGAAGGAATAGACGAAATAGAAGTAGGTGGAGCAAAAGAAGATGAAGAAATCAATCAAGATTCATCGATCTTGCAGAGGATCAGTTCGGCTGCCTTGAACGATGCCTCGGTCTCTTCATTAGACCTCAGCCGAATTCCTAAGGACCCTTTCCGAGCAAAAGGTCGTGGGAACGAACAGAACGAAACGAGTGTACCATGTATTGCCAGCAGATCGAAATATGTGACAACTCCGAGCAGCTACCTGCCTGAGTTGTCCCCTTCTGCTCCTCTTTCCCTCTGGGGACGACCCGTTCAATCGCCTTCAACTCCCATTCCGCTGCACGTCTGTATATCTCATTTTTCTCTTGCTGTGATCGAGCGTTGCGATGGCAGACCTGATTGCAGTCTGACGTAGGATAACTCGATAGAAATGCTGGAAAATAGAAAATTTAAAAAGAGAAGAAAACACAATTTGGGATATGCGTACTCATGTTTCATTCAATGGGATCTCTTCTACCTAATTTTTTATGTTGTAGCATTTTTTTTAAATGTATCAGTGTTAGAACGATGATGATGCTGATGATGTATGAATGTCCTGAGAGGTTTTCATGCCCATCACCCTTCATGATTTGAAAAAAAAGAAAGGAACATAAATTTTCCGTAGCTCCTTTTTCATAGATGACTCAAAATACGTCGTCTAGCACTTATAATGGTGTACCACAAATCTGGTTCTATGGTGAGATTGCATTCCTCCATTGTTGGTCTGTCTTCGATTGTTTCAACTGCTTTGTCTGAATCAGTCGAAAAGTATATTTTTTTTAGTCTAATCTTCGTCCTCTTCCTGGTGTCTCCACTTTTCTGTTTGCTGTCCATTTCAGGCTCCTTCGACTCTCTGGCTTGGAACAAATCAGCTTGGCAGGAAAAGGAAGGAAGCAGAAGAAAAAGAAGCGGGAATATGGCAAGCTGGAGTCCACGAACAGCGAGCTCGCCACCATCTTGAAGAACAAGTAGGTTGATAGGAGAGCATCACAGAACGGGTTCAACGCTTCGTTTGCAGAGGTTGATGGGAAGTTCTTTTAAGATTTACATTGTATTGGACTCTGAACGGTCTATGGGTGCCTGCCATCTAAATTATATATTACCTGCTTCCTCGTCAACACTTACCCTAGATGACATCCACAAGAACTAAAACACATTTTTAGGCATATTATTTTGTGAAGTATGGAAACAGAAACAATTACGGACGAAATTGAAAATCTCTCACTTTTCTCCTTTCCCCTTTCTCAGATTATTACTTGCTATTGGAGTTGTTCTCACTATTGAAATGAAAAAGTGACCGTACCCTCTTTACTAAAAACTCTTGAATTTCAACATGATGAACCCTACATTTCGTTTCGCAATGGATGCGGCAGAATAAATGGCGGTGTTAGTATTCCGTTAATATGTATATCGTCCATTTTCGTCGATTCGACTTGACGCAATATTGACGCGATATTTAGCACCATTGTTCGATTATGGGAAGACCCAGAGCACCGTTCAAATCCCGGAAGATTTTCGCTGAATCATCTGGATTTTCGCGTTTAGAAATGACAAGGTTTTGGAGGTCTTTACTTTTCATGATCTGAAGAAGAAATGCTGCAAGCATATGCAACACAAAATGCATTGCTTTGTTGAGAATTGAATGGAGAATCTTCGGGGAAAAGTTCAAGTCTAAGCGACGAAAAATGTACGATATATTGATTTATTCTGCTGCACCCGTTATATTTGAAGCTACTTACCAATTTCCATGCCCTATATGATCAGTCTTCGCAACTACAAGTATTATTGTTTCAGAACTAATAATGGTAGAAAGTTTAAACCAAAACCAAAATATGCAGAAACGCTTCAAGTTTTACCGTTGAGTTTCTCAATGTGGCTTCCCGCACGTGATGCGGTACACATCCCAGCAACATTCAAGTTTTATGCCGAATTCCCTCCAACATATCAGTTTCCACATTGGACACTCCCTCTATTATCTTATTTTTTTATTTCGCTATTCTGATCAGCAGGGGAGGTCGGTACACATTGTCTCCCAGTGTCTACAAGCTTTCTCACATGCAAAAATGCAGAGGGGAGATCAGGCGATCGTGAAGGCCACGTGAATGGACCTCCATGGCTGATCTCGTACACGTCGCCCTTGAGGACGAGCTTCCTTCCGCCCCATGCGATTTCTATCGATACTTAATTTTCCGAATCCCAAGATTCAATATTTAGGAATGTGAAGAGGCAATTCTACTCACCGTGCACATCCTTTGTCAAGTTCGAGTGTTCCTTGCCCTGAGGTAAACCTACCCAACTCCATATCTAAGCCAAGTCCTCAACCAACCTGTCAACCCAATGCCCATTCACTTTACATCTATTGCTTCATTTTATTTATTTATCCATGAAGGCATCTAACCTCTTAAAGGTTTTCACGAAAGGGGCAGCCACTACTTGTCGCTCAACACATTCCATGCATCCACTACCCTAGAACAAAAGTAGTTCTGACGTGACTTGAGCCGCATTTGCGGGTTACGCAGTGTAAGTTGGTTACCATTCGTTTTGCCGCTGCCATCGAATTGGAAAAACCTACCACGCTTAACGTCATCAATTCATTTTATGATTTTAAAAACCTGGATGAGATGCCCCCCTCGTTAGCCTTCTCTCGACCGGAAACAGCCTCAACACTTCCAATCGCTTCTTACACGGCAGCCCCCTAACGTCCTTATTTCTTGTAGCCCTCATCTATTCCTACTTGAGCGTCGTTAAGTCGTTTTCAATAGTATGCCTCCAAAATTGAACACAGTACTCTAATTGGGGTCTCAACGGAAGAATCACGTGCGAGCCCTTACTGGCTATGGAACGCCGATGAAACTTAGGATCCTGTTACTATAGCTACTACCGCTTGCGCGTGCGAGAACTTGAGTTCTTTATCAATAGTAATCCCGTTTGCCTCATCGAATTCGACTGCGCCGAAATCTTAGAGAGACCTATCATTATTATGCCCGCTATGAAGCATCTTACCCTTACAAAAAAAGATGTATAGGTGGTAAAACTGAACCAGACAATTCCATGGAAACATGTCATTTACAGGGAATTGCCTGGTCCAATTGTACCACCTGTAAATGACATGGCATTGCCATATGTATCATTTTTAAATAGGAATTTCCCAGTCCCCGGTCATTTTCATGTTTAAATTTCATGACGATCCCTGGAATTGGCATGGCATTTGCAGATCAGTCATGCGATTCCAAATCTATCTGCAAAAAGAGAACTCTCCATGGTATTACATAGGTTTGGTTTGGGTCAAGCGTATAGGAGGAAACATCTTATACAGGGTGGTGCATTTAAAAGTAGCCTGTAACAACCTTCACACACTTGCCGAGTTGGAAGCAAACATCCAAGCAGAAATTGCAGCCATTCGAGAGAAGGAACTCAAGTCCGTGGCAATGAACTGCCTGAAACGTGCTCAGCAATGTCTGGATGTAGGGGGAGGGCACTTCCAGCATCTCCTATAGATGAGTGACACGGGCTACTTTTAAGTGCGCCACCCTATATATACGAGGGCTGTTCTGAAAGATTTTAGCTAAAGAAAAAAGGCCAAACATTTTGTTGAATTCTATTTATTATTTTTCAAAGTAGTCTCCCCCAACACTAATACAGTGTTTATTTTGGCAGGTCCTCAAACAGGCTCGTGAATTCTGCTACGGCTGCATCTGCACTCAAAAATGTCATTCCCCTTGTTTCTTGTTTTTTTATTGTAGGAAATAAAAAAAAGTCGCACGGGGCCAGATCCGGACTGTAAGGTGGATGGCTCAATCCCAGCAGCTGTCGTATGTTATCACAGGTGACGAGTCTTGGATTTAAAATTATGACCCTCAAACAAAGCAACAATCGACCGTTTGGGTGTTTGAAGACGACGAGTTGCCAACGAAAGTCGTGCGAGGTAGAAGTGCGAGCAAAAAAATTATCGCTGCCTTCTTCCGTCGGAGTGGCCTAGTTGCTGTCATACCATTAGAAGATCGTAAAACAGTTACTGCTGAATGGTATTGTCAAACATGTTTACCACAACTGTTTGAAAAAGTTAAGATTGGTCAAGAAAGAAGTGGCTTGCGAGGAATTCTGCTTCACCACGACAACGCACCGGCGCACAGTGCCGCTCTGACGTTGGACTTTTTACACCAATCTCGTGTCCAACTTGTGAGCCATCCACCTTACAATCCGGACATGTCCCATGCGACTTTTTTATTTCCTACAATAAAAAAGTTGCGGGGAAATGCATTTTTGAGTGCAGATGCAGCCGTGGCAGAATTCACGAGCCTGTTTCAGGACCTGCCAAAATAAACACTTTCATATTGTTTTGACAAATTTGTCAAAGAATGAATAAGTGTATTAGTGTTGGGGGAGACTACTTTGAATAACAATAAATAGAATTCAACAAAATTATTGGCCTTTTTCTTTAACGAAAAACTTTCAGAACAGCCCTCGTATAATACGTTAATGTATGTAAGCCGTATTACGACGTCAGGCAAGTAAATACTCTGACCCTTCGTGTATCGTTGAAAAGCTTTTATGGTCAGTTGGTATTCATCGTGCAATCAGATTTGAAATATCATCCTAGGGTGAGTTATAAGCTACCGCAAATTTTCGCCTCCGTGCTGCCCCCGGTAGAGTCATGCGCGGGCCCGGGATTTCCAGGAACCCGACCCGACGCGAGCTCTCATCCCTTATATTCACGGTCACACAGTTTAGTATTAATACTTTTCGTCTCTGATTACATGCGTGAAAAAGATGCAAGTCTTGACACGAAGATTCCATTGTCTCAAACCAGAGGAATGAAAACATTTAAAAAATTAAATGTTAAAATTCGGCCCGATCCGACTCGACCCGAAGAAGGATCTTGAAAAGTTCGGCCCCAGACGGCCCGCGACTCCCAGTTCTTACTGCAGCAAAAACAACAGTCATTATACTAATGACATATTTGTAAATCTTTACTCCCTGAAAAGTCATAACATTGGCAGCACGCGTAAAAGTAACATGTTTACGAAACAGTGCGCGTCTGTTGACGTATTTGCATGACGAAATCAGTAATTCAGTTTGACAAAAACCGTACATACTGAACCGTACGTACCGTATGACGTACATATGGGAAGTAGAGCATTCGAAAAGACGTATGATAGCATCGACGGTGTGGTCTCAAATAGCGAAGAAGTGGAAAATAATTAGACGATGCAGTTCTTCTGCGGTGGCCCTCCTGCTGGGCTTGGGTAAATGGACTCCATAAACTATATAAATGGGCTCTATACCACTCGAAAGAGTGGTATGATCGTCAGAAAGAAACCTAAAAGGTGAGAGTCGAGGGCGAACGCTCCGGATTGGACTTTCCCCAAGCCCTGCGTTTTTACTCGCGTGGAGTTTGGATACCGATCCAAATTATCGGTATCGGCCGATACTTTTATGTCCGATCCGATTCTTCCTTGCCGCACGCCATACTTGATGCGCAGCACGTAAATTTTGGGAACGTCTCAAGAAAAAACCTACTTGTAATGGCATACAGTTCCTTAAGTCCGTCATAGTTCTTGTTAAACTCTCCAACTGATGGACAATGAGATTGGGCATGGTTAAAGCGGAATGCGAGAGATTTGAGAAGGGCATTGTACAATTGGAATGGGCTATTATTCACGTACGCATTCATTCATTCACTTTCCCCCATTCCGTCCCGTCTCCTGCCATCCTGCGCTGACTGGTTTGCGCAGGCGCACTTTGTGCTCACGTCCATCCCACCTCCGGCTCTCCCTTCGAGCACCGATCCCGGTTGCAGTTGCATCAACTCCTTAATCCCTTAACGACATCGCACCGATCGTCCGTCGTTCGTAGTACTTACGTCCGACGTATTCTCCGCTGGCCCAATGAATGGCGGGGGTTTTGGCCTATACTGAAGAAGTTAATTTATTGACCGACGGAAATGTCTCCAGAGCTAAATAAATTACAGGAGTTTTGAGTGTTGGGTCATTAGTGTCCAAGGATTATTTCTTTCTTCCCTTGCTTGCCAAAGGTAGCATTAAGCCTATTAAGGTCTGGTCCTGTAATGTGGTTTCCACAGCCACTGGGAACTGTCTGTATCGGTTTCGGTATCGGCTAATCCTGGATCGGTTGCCTCCC